CATTAAGGAAAAAAGAACACACACAGGACAAAGGCTCCTCTCTCCCCAGAACCAGGTCAGAGAACTAAGCCATTTAACATCTGTGTTTCACAATGGTGATATTAGAAGTCTGCCTGCACGGAATAGGCCACCTAACAGCCTAGGCAGAGTAATCAGATTTCATACTTTGACTCCCTTTATACTCACAATTTCCGTATTCACCCTACCTGTCATTTTCTAAGAGATTCTCCCCTAAAAGTTTGCCGACCATTTGGCAAGGAAGACAGCAAAAATCAGCAATTCAGCTTCAGAAAAGAATAAAGAGTTCTAATTCTACTTTCAGTAGAAATCCTTACTGTTCTTTAACAAATATTTGTTGAACCCCTACTTATTATATGTAACACTAAGTGTATATTAGTGAATAAAGTGTATAGGATCTGCCAACTACTCCTCTCTCAGAAACTAGAAACTGTTCCTTTACTTCTGCTAGAAGTTCTTACAAGTTTTAGCTTCTAATGCTTTGCTAGAGGGATTTACAAGAAACTTTCCCTAAGGCAGTGGTTCTCAACCTTCCTAATGCCGTGACCCTTTAATACAGTTCTTCATGTTGTGGTGACCCCCAACCATAAAATTATTTTCGTTGCTACTTCATAACTATAATTTTGCTACTGTTATGCATCGTAATCGTAATGTAAATGCAGGATGTATATTCATTGTTACAGATTAACATAATTAAAGCATAGTGATTAATCACAAAACAATATGTAATTATATCTTCAATACCTGTTTTCCGATGGTCTTAGGCGACCCCTGTGAAAGGGTCATTCAACCCCCAAAGGGATCGCAACCTGAAGGTTGAGAACTGCTGCCCTAAGGTATTTGGAAGAAAAAAAAAAGACCTAGGAAGACAAACCTAGAGCTAATAATAGCCCAAAATGGTTAAAGTCATTTTTGAAGTCAATTTTTAAAATAACCATTAATTAAAAAAAAAAAAACCCAAATATTCACTAAGTTTCATTATAAACATTCAGTAAAGTTGCAAAAACGAGCCCTCCCAGTTTGGCTCAGTGGATAGAGCATCAGCCTTCGGACCAAAGGGTCCCGGGTTTGATTCTGGTCAAGGGCTTGGTTGCAGGCTCCTTCCTCCCCAGCCCAGATCCTGGTCAGGGCTCATGCAGGAGGCAACCAATTAGTGTATTTCTCTTACATGGATGTTTCTCTCTGTCTTTTCCTCTCTCTTCCATCTCCCTAAAAATCAATGGAAAATATCCTCAGGTGAGGATTAACCAAAAAAAGTTGCAAAAAATGTCTGCATGTGGCCCAAGAGAAAAGGACCACTGAGCACCCTCAGTCAACTAAGGTACTTGAAAAAATATGAGTCTCCAGATTCCAATCCATGTTTGCTGAATCAGAATCTAAAGGTAGGATTCATGAATGTGTAATCTGAACAAGCATCCCACATCCCAGGTGATGATGTCTACTGTGAACTTACAGACCTTTATAAATAATCTCATGTTAAAAGAAATATAGGAATCTGCCCTAGCTGGTTTGGCTCAGTGGGTAGAGCAGCCATGGGCAAACTATGGCCCGCGGGCCGGATCCGGCCCGTTTGAAATGAATAAAACTAAAAAAAAAAAAAAAAAAAAAGACCGTACCCTTTTATGTAATGATGTTTACTTTGAATTTATATTAGTTCACACAAACACTCCATCCATGCTTTTGTTCCGGCCCTCCGGTCCAGTTTAAGAACCCATTGTGGCCCTCGAGTCAAAAAGTTTGCCCACCCCTGGGGTAGAGTGTCGGCCTGCGGACTGAAGGGTCCCGGGTTCGATTCCAGTTAAGGGCACATGCCTGGGTTGCGGGCTCAACTCCCAGTAGGGGGCATGCGGGAGGCAGCCAATCAATGATTCTCTCTCATCATTGATGTTTCTATCTCTCTCTTCCTCTCCCTTCCTTTCTGAAATCAATAAAAATATACTAAAAAAGAAAAACAGGAATCTAAGGAATTTGGGCAGTTGAAGGAAGAACTGAAAAAGACAGTCCAAGTCAGATCCTAAGAAAGACCTATTGATAAAATTGCCTCACTCCTGATTTAAATGTCACATCCTACTCAACTCTATCACATAAAGCACTGAAACAGGGCAGAAGGAATTACTGTGTGTTTTTAGAAAAATCCACCAAGTCTGGTTTCCTGCCTTTGCCCACTTGGATTCTAAGAACTAGGAATGCCAGTCTTTCCTCCTCTGATTACCTACTTCACCTTGCTCTCCACATCCAGGCATTTACCTGCTATCAATCTAAAGGCCACTATGCAGAACAGATGCAATCATGCCACCACGAGCATATGATGAGCTTTTACTCTCCATCTTTCATCTCTGGTCCATTTAGTAAGAATCCAAGAATTGCCATTACTTTGGGTAGGCTAATAATCAAAGTGAAGGCAGAGATTTGAGCACATGCTTTAAGCAGCTTTGGGCTTTAAGCCCAAGTAACATTTCACAGGACAAAACCGACTTCAGTTTTGTTGAATCTAATTTCAGTCTAGGATTTATATAGGAGAGATTATGCAGTGATATAGGTCTGCAATAAAGGAACTATTGGTATTAACTTAAGTGTCTTGAAAAGGTCTCGAAACAACCTAGAAACACTCTTGGATTGATTTACTCAAAGTTATAAAATATCCTAGCCTGGAGTAAAGTAAATAACTAGGTTTGGCTCAGTCACTTTGGTGTTAAAGAGTCCAGGAGTGGCCCTGGCCGAGTAGCTCATTTGGTTAAAGTGTCGTCCAGATACACCGAAGTTGCGGTTAGATCCCTGTCAGGGTGCATACAAGCAGCAACCAGTGAATGCATAAGTAAGTGGAATAACGAGTTGATTTTCTCACTCTCCCTCCCTTCCTCTCTTAAAAAAAAAAAAAAAAAAAAAAAAAAAAAAAAAGTCCAGAGTGAATTGATGGCCCTACTCCAATTCTCAGCTCAGATCACCTGAGAAAAGACAGTATTTACATCACAAAGCTAAGCCACCAACAGCTAATACGAAAGCCATTACTTAGTATGAATTCATTTGGATAAACGAGAAGCCAATATCAAGGTTCTGAATTAGTCTACCTCTCCAACTCAAGTGTTTATTAAATTACATGATTGTAGGGAGGGTTAAACAACAGAATGACTAACATTTGTGTCTCCTAGCAAAGTTTAAAAATATCTCTTCTCAGAAAAGTGAAACTATATCTGACCTTGAGAATCAAAGTGGTATGTATGGGTCAGTTCTCCCAGGTCAGAAAATTATCTTTGCCTTCTAAAGCCTACTTTCATAGCAAAAATAAAATTGAGTACCAAATAAGCTGCAGGGTAATCTGGAAAGCTCAGGCAGGTGCTAGCAATGCTGAAAGGCTTCTTGGTATCCTGGTCTTTCTGCTTAGATACCAGGAAATTTTCAGTCCTGAGTCATTAGGTTTTGCTAGTTTTAAGGGTCAAAAGCCTTCTAATGGCTTCCTATTTACATGTTTCTGGGATCCTCAAGTCCATCTGTAATAGGAAAGTAAACAAAATAAAAATGATATTACAGTTATGTAGTCCTGTCATCCCAAAAGCCTTCTGAGCTTCCTCAGAGCCTTAAGAGACAAAATATTTTCAAAAGGTAAACTCTAAAGCCTTTTTCAAATTCACCGTAGGGTTAGAACATCTGGTCTGGGTTAGCAGCAGCTCTGCCACTAACTAATTATGGTGTTCCCTATTCTGCCAAAACACTATCTAGAACTTGCTTCATGTCCCAAGAGGCTTCCTTACCCTGTTCCCTGGCAGGAGGAGAAGCAACAGTCAAAATAAGACAAGTATCTCCCAAATAACCAGCTGCCATCCAGTGCGAACCCTACAGGCTTCACCTCACCTGCCAACCATGCAAGATAACACAGGGCAAGCTAAAACCACCCTGAGACCTTCCTTAACTTCAGATGTTGGCAGCTTTACTCTGCCTGCAGGAGAGAAAGTATACGTTCTTTACAGGAGTCAAGGTCACTTGTGGGACTGTTCCTGCTTGGATTAGAGGGCTGGGACTCCCTCCGCACAACAGCTTCTCTGTTTAAAGGGCCAAGTTACCCAGAGACAAAAGTACTGGCAATTTGAAGTTGAAAGCACCATCACCTGCAACAATACTGCTATGATTCAAAAGGCAACGAAAGTCAAGTAAAGGGCCCCCCGAAATGAGAGGAATCTCTCCTGGATAGAGTAGACTTAAGAGCAACAGCAAAAAACCTGGGTGATCCGATAGTAGGACTGGACATATGACCTTGGGAATACTATATCCTACCCAGCGTTTTCACTAATGGCCTGCTGTCCGGAGGAAAAGTCCTTCTGGTGCCGTCGCCAATCGTACGCGGTAATCATGCCTGCGTTACAGAGCGCTCCACCCGACCCAAGCCCTGCGATATGCAGTAAGCGGAAGAGTTCCAAGGACAAAGACGTCCCTTCCTCCAGCAGAAACTGGTCATCAACGGCTTTAATAACTGGGGTGGGGAAATGGAAACGGGCCGTCAGGAACTAAGACCCTCCCTACAAAACAGAAGCCGAAATTGACTACAGCTTCAGCTCTGGCCCAGGTAGAGTGAGCACATCTGTTCACCCTGCCACTCCTCTTACACACCTCCGCCCCCTCCTTCAAAGAGACTCTTTCCCTAACTCCGATGGACACACCTATGTTCTCTATGGTGAGTCCTTCTGCCAGGACCACGCAGCACCCCCTCCCGCCATAAAAAGGCGGATGGACAGCACGGTCCGGCCTCTCCCAGCGCCGTAGACCGCATGCCGAGGGCGAGCAGCGCTCACTTCTGCTCCAGGGGCCGGAAGGCCAGCCTAGCACATGGCTCTGGGAGCGCCCAGCACGGCTGGCGGCCAGCCAAGTACAGGGCCCCTTTAAGGCGCGCCGGGGTGCGTATGGGTAGGGAAGGGAGACCCCGGGACTTGAGGGCCTGCAGTCTCCTCAGCCCCACCCTGGGCCGTGCGCTTCTTCCTGCAGTTGCTCACCTTGGCTCCGATGAGCCGGGCGGCCGCAGTGAGTAGAGCCATTGGCGGGAGAACTCTGGGATCTGACGGGGAGGCAGGGAGGGGAGCGAGCTGCGGCAGGAACGGGAGCCTCCGCCGCTGCACCAGACGCCGCGCCGACGGGTGAACAAGGTTGAAAGGAGGCGGCCGAGGGAAAGGGTAGACGAACCGGCGGCGGCGCCCAGCCCGGGGTCCTTAGCGAGGCCCCGCCTACTGCCCGGAACCCGCTCTCGCCGCTGTCAGGGACTTGACGCGGGCTCGGCCATTGGTCGGGTGTGGAGGAGGGCGGGACCTGCCCCGTTGACAGCGGCTGTAGCGGGGAGGATTGGGCCGCCGGGTAGGCTAATTCAGGGCGGGAGCGAGAGAAGCTTGTAGGTGGCTAAGAATGTGCCTGAGAACTCAGTTAACTTTCCTCTTAGGCTTTTTTCTTGCCTGTAACACATTCGGGGTTAGTTCTTGGGTGAATATTAGAGAAAAAGCCTCAAGGACTTATACCTTTGAAGGTCCTCAGAAGCCAACCCCTTAATATATTATCATGGCAACTGATCATACCCACTCCTACCCCCTTGGCGTGCTTTCTTGGATGTCTTTGGTCAATGACTTAATGGCCATAGAGGTGACATAATGCCAGAGTTAGCTTTCTAACAAACCCCCCAGCCCCCCCCCAATAGCTGGAGAAGGAAAGCAAAGGCAGGAGCCTGAATATCCAGTGCTCTTTGGGGCTGTCAGTTCTATTTAGTGCCAGAAAATCCAAGTCTTACAAATGCTCCCTTAATATGGAGGCTTCCAGCACAGGCCAGAGCCTCTGGGCCCTGGGCATAGTCTCCCTGCTCCTCCAGGCACCTAACCCCCTACAGCCGGCTCACTCTACTTCTAGCCATTAGATGCAGACAAAACCTGCATCCAAAATCAGGCTCGAGGCACCCTCCCTTTTTTGTCCTATCACTCCCACTGGGCCTCTGTACCCCATCTCCTACTTGGCTACCTTTTATACACTTACCCTGTGCTCCCCAGAGACCATTAAAGGAAACATGGCACTAAAGTGATCGTCCACACCATGCTTGCTAACCCCTCTGGGCAGACAAGACCGCGGGACCTTCCCTCCTCCCAAAGCCTCCTTGTCATTGACCCAAGGGCAGAGAGGGAAGTGACCCAAGGGCCTGGGCATCTTACCTACAAACCTAAGCCCCAAGTGAACAGTCCTCTTATCTCCTCACATAGTAGTAACAAGTTTCAGAGGTCTCAGTACCATCTAAGCCAGGTTTCCATAGACCTAGTTTACGAGTTTATAAAGAACCTAGTTTATAGCGTGGACTTGGGGAAAAGAGACAGAAAACCATTCTTTTTTCTTACCAAGTTTCCTCATACCCAACTGCACACCTACCACCCAATGCTCCTCTGGACTGGGGATCACACGTAGGTCTTAGGAAAGAACGTAATAAAGATAAGCGGAGCAGTAACCTCTGCTACCTGTCGGTGACTTCAAAGCTCCGCTGATCAATAGTTGATCCCAATTTAGCATCTCACAGAGGATTTCCTCTTAACCCTAGAATAGTCTGACCTTGTTTCTTCTCTCTGGTTAATTATCCACAGAGACTAGCCAGCAGACCAGAGGACTGAACTCCAGTGCCCCAAGCGACAGGAGGCATTTTCAGTGTGAGGCTACCCAAGGGATAATTATTGAGTGGCCATAAGGGTAACCTATTTTGGCTCTCTAGTGATTGGAGGGAGGGTGGGGAACAGTGCTCTAAGCCTTTTGACACAGTGTCCTGGATTCTACTATCATGAGGACTATATGGACTTGTTTTGAAGTTGTTCAGTCCTGACATTTACTGCTAGAAGGCCAATGGGAAAGCCCAGGGAGCAAGTGAACTAAACGGTATGTCACAGGGGCTGGCTTATAGTCTTTTTCTGAAAGTGGATAGGACCTGGGGAGGTGGGAAGAAAGTTAAGGGAGCCCTGGCCAGGTAGCTCAGTTGGTTAGAGTGTTGTCTCAATACACCAAGGTGGAGGGTTCGATCCCCAGTCAGGGCATATATAAGAAGCAACCAATGAATGCATAAAAAATTGGAACAACAAATAAATGTTTCTCTCTCTCTCTCTCTCTCTCCTCTCTCTCTCTCAAAAAAAAAAAAAAATCCATCAATAAAAAAAATAAAAAAGAAAGTTAAGGGGAAAAGATTGGTATGGCTAAAACCACCAAGTGAGTTCTAGGGCCCAGATACAAATAAGTGCCTGAGAACTGAAGTGGGCAAGAGAGAAGGCTGAGCACTGAGGTCATCCTGACCTTGAGAGGACTTCTTTAAAATAGACAAAGGCAATAGTGCCCTCTGGTGGCCAAGAATAAGTGAGAGACCACAGCCTACCAGTGATGGCGAACCTTTTGAGCTCCGCGTGTCAGCATTTTGAAAAACCCAAACTTAACTCTGGTGCAGTGTCACATATAGAAATTTGATATTTGCAACCACAGTAAAACAAAGACTTATATTTTTGATATTTATTTTATATATTTAAATGCCATTTAACAAAGAAAAATCAACCAAAAAATTGAGTTTGTGTGTCACCTCTGACATGCGTGTCATAGGTTTGCCATCACTGGCCTAAACTTAAACTCTACATCAGTAAAACAAACTCCTGTATTTAAGGGGTAATAACTAAAATTGATTGAATAGTTACTATTTACAGATACATGTATTATCTCAATCCTCACAATTCTATGGGATATAAATATTAATATCTCTACAGAGGAAAAAATAAAAATTTAGATAAGTATGTTTTTCTATATTTAAAAATATTTTAGCCCTAGCCAGTTTGGCTCAGTGGATCGAGCATCAGCCTGTGGACTGAAAGGTCCCAAGTTCGATTCTGGCCAAGGGCACATGCCCAGGTTGTGGGCTCGATCCCCACTGTGGGGCGTGCAGGAGGCAGCCGATCAATGATTATCTCTCATCATTGATGTTTCTATATCTCTCTCCCTCTCCCTTCCTCTCTGAAATCAATAAAAATATATTTAAAAAATAATATAAAGCCCTAACCGGTTTGGCTCAATGGATAGAGCGTCGGCCTGCGGACTCAAGAGTCCCAGGTTCGATTCCGGTCAAGAGCATGTACGTTGGTTGTGGGCACATCCCCAGTAGGGGGTGTGCAGGAGGCAGCTGATCGATGTTTCTAACTTTCCATCCCTCTTCCTTCCTCTCTGTAAAAAAATCAATAAAATATGTTAGAAAAATAAAAAAATAAAAAATAATATAAAAATAAAAATATTTTAAAAGGTGCCTGGCCACAGTGGCTCAGTGGTTGAGCATCGACCTATGAATCAGGAGGTCGTAGTTCGATTCCCAGTCAGGGCACATGCCCGGGTTGCAGGCTCAATCCCCAGTAGGATTCGGTGCAAGAGGTAGCAGATTAATGATTCTCTCTCATCATTGATGTTTCTATCTCTCTCTCCCTCTCCCTTCCTTTCTGAAATCAATAAAAATATATTTTAAAAAGTAAAAGGTAAAGAACTACTGCCCTGGCCAGTGTGGCTCAATAGGCTGAGCATCATCCCATGCACCAAGAGATCACCAGTTCAATTCCCAGTCGGGCCACAAGCACGGGTTTCGGGCTTGATCCTTGGTAGAGGTGACTGATCAATGTTTCTTTCTCTCCCTTCCTTTCTCTCTAAAATAAAATATATATTTAAAATAAGACCTATAGTCTTACTTATCTGTAAAAACCTCTGTATACCCATACTTGAAATATATGCTAAATGGTGATCCTCCCAGAAAAGTTAAAGGTAGGGGAGACAAACATTTAGCACCTAAAATGACCAAGGGGGTAGAATGGGCTTCTTACACAGAATAATCAGTTTGGGAAAATGGCTGAAGAGGCTATAGTGTTTTTTCACTATCGATTGGAGGAAGTTTTTAAATAAAACAAGTACAACTTTTCACAGCCACTGGGGACTATGAGAGTCCATTACAGAGTGAGGTTTAACAGAAAGACCACTGGCCTAGGGGTAAGATGGTCACTAGGGTTGAAGTCTTGGTTCCCTGCTGACTAGCAAGCTCAACCTCTTTGAACTTAGCTTCTTCATCTGTAAAATGGGTGTAGCATCTTTTTAAAATATATATATTTTTATTAACTTCAGAGAAGGGAGAGGGAGAGGGATAGAAACATCAGTGATGAGGGAACATCATCGATTGGCTGCCTCTTGCACCTCCCCCGCCCCCAACTGGGGACTGAGCCTGAAACCCAGGCATGTGCCCTGACCGGGAATCAAACCTGTGACCTCCTGGTTCATGGGTTGATGCTCAGCCACAGAGTCACACCAACCAGGCACATCTATTTCCTAAGAGTTGTAACCTTAAATCAGAATGTGTATGTCCTTGTTATGAGAGTATTCAACATATGCCGTAGGTCCACTTATACGTGGATTTTTTCAGTTAAGTATACAGTCAGCCCTTTGTGTCCCCAGGTTTCATACCCACAGATCGAAAACAGTATTTCTGATCTGCAGTTGGGAATCGTGGATGCAGAGGACCAAGTAAGTATATGCATTGTCCTATGCCATTTTATGTAAGGGATTTGAGCATCTGCATGTTTTGGTGTCAGTGGGAACCAGTCTTCCAGGGACACCAAGGGACAACTCCAGCTAAGTTTCCAGGGAGCCCAAAGTTGTTTGTGGATATTCAACTATGTGGAGACTGGTGCCCCTTACCCCCACATTATTCAAGGGTCAACTGTACCAGTTCCCTGCTATTCATCCCAGTTCTGTGTTTAAAGGAATCTTGTCCCTACTCATTTTATTTCTTTAAAAAAACATTTTTTTTTTTAAATTGATTTAAAGAGAGAGAGAGAAACATTGATTGGTTGCCTCCCGTATGTGCCCAACCAGGGACTGAACCCACAACCTAGGCATGTGCCCTGACTGGGAATCAACCCGAAACCTTTAGGTGCATGGGATGATGCTCTAAGGGAACTATACCAACCAGGGCTTGTTCCTGTTCTGAATGCTTTTTTTTTTTTTTTTTTTTAAATATATTTTATTGATTTTTTACAGAGAGGAAGGGAGAGAGATAGAGAGCCAGAAACATCGATGAGAGAGAAACATCGATCAGCCGCCTCCTGCACATCTCCCACTGGTAATGTGCCCGCAACCCAGGTACATGCCCTTGACTGGAATCGAACCTGGGACCCTTCAGTCCGCAGGCTGATGCTCCATCCACTGAGCCAAACCAGTTTCGGCCTGAATGCTTTTTTAACAGCAAAAAATCCTCTGAAACTTATTTTTAAAGGGCTGGTTTTTCACATAATAAACTCTCTTAGTCACGTCCAGATAGCATTTAAACACTGGCTTTGGGAATGTTTTGAGTTTTACCATTTCACTGATAAATTCATTAGAAGGCATCTAAAGCTTAAAGTGTAACCAGATATGCAAGGTCGAGTATACACTATATCAAATACTGGGCTAGAACAATTTGTTACGGTGAGCCTCCAGAGGGTTTAGGTAAATTAAGCAATTCCTTGTAGTAATTTATGATATGAATTAAGAGGTATACAAAGTATATCCTCCTACCTTCCGAGGATGAAGTCAAAGACAATCACATCCACTCTTCCCTATGTAGGACACACCCCAATGTACAATGGGCAAAGACCTGGGCTGGGAGAGTTCTTAACAGCTGTTCCCTGACAAACTAGCAAGGTGCATCTCAAGTAATTTGTTACTGATTAACATTAAATTTATTTTATTAAAACTTGTGGATACTTTTTGTAAATTAAAAGTTTCAAGTTCCCTATTTGACTACTCTTACTTATATTTCTAATAAGCTTTATGATGGAAGAGTAAGAAGTGTTTAGATACCAGGCAGGCAATGGACAGAATCCTGGGCATACTCACAGGGTTACGAAGCATGTGAACATGATTCATGTGCGTCACAGAAGACAAAAAGGTTAGTAAGCTGCTCTGGGAAATTGATTTGATAGGATATAGCATTTCTTATCAATGATGAGAGAAGAAGAAATTAGCACTAGATCTTGAGTTTAGTTCAGTGATGGCGAACCTTTTGAGCTCGGCGTGTCAGCATTTTGAAAAACCCTAACTTAACTCTGGTGCAGTGTCACATATAGAAATTTTTTGATATTTGCAACCATAGTAAAACAAAGACTTATATTTTTGATATTTTATGTATTTAAATGCCATTTAACAAAGAAAAATCAACCCAAAAAATGAGTTCGCATGTCATAGGTTCGCCATCACTGGTTTAGTTAGTTGTCAGCTAATTTTAGGGTACTTTCTCTAAGCTATATCATGTGTTAGATTTCATAGGGATTGTGGTATAAGAAAGCTTTGTGGAATACATTCATTCTGTGTACAAGGTAATAAGAGGAAAAAAAGACTTAAACTAGAAGCTAGTTCATAGCTATATCAGATCACCTAACTTTTGGGAAGAGCGTACAGTAGATCCAGTTTTGTCACTGAATGCGTAACTTCAGAGCCTGTGGTTTCTCCGGCCGTGTTTTCTTTGTATGTAAATGGGTAGAGGTGAACTAGATGACCTCCAAGGTTCCTTTAGATTCTCAAACGCTTAATTTAAGAAGTCTTTGAAATGTTTATTCAGGTTCTCTCTGAGGCATTCCCAAGACAGAAATGTTCCATTTCAAACCTATGACAGCCACATCCCCAAATCAGGTATTTAAAAAGCTCCTCAAAGAAGGTATCCTTTGTTTTCATCACTATGCCCCAGTACAGAATCTCTACATACAGAAAGTGAGGACAGACTTGTAGTCTAGATTGACAATAGCTAGTGATGAAGATGAAAAGGGTATACTTTCATGTTGCTGTTGGCACTAAATCTAAAAACGTAGGCCATCAAATAAGGCCTTTCATTAAATAACGTTCCTTACCTAATTTCTCCCTATCTGAAAAAGCCCTTACTTTTCAGCTGAGTTGATCACATCCATTTTCCCCTTCCTGAATGCTCTTGTTGATCCCTCCATCTGGAAGGGCAGGGAGGAAAGAATAATGCATGTCCATTATTTCCTTCAAGACCAAGCTGTTTTACTTTACGTTTCATCAGTATGAACACATGTAATTTCTAGAATCCTATACCACCATACGCTTACTTATGTTCTTCTGCTCATTCACAGAGGGTCCTCTTTTCTCCACAATTAAGCTTGAAACACATTTGAGTAGGCACTGAGTAAATGTTTACCTAGTTTGTGAGTGCAGCAGGAATCTCAGATGGCAAAGAACGAAAGCTTCAGGCTCCTCCTCCCTTCCTGTGATACCATTCCCAACGCTCGTCCTTCCCTTCCCTTTTATTTCCTGTCTGGAACCCCCTATCTTCAAACCTAATCTAATGACCAATTCTGGGCATGAAAAGACAACACCGTTCATCCTTTTAGTTTCATATTTTTCCAGTTCATTTCATTATAAACATAATATAAACGGCATTGCCACCTTTTCCCCTCCTGGGGGTGATCCATCAAGCTTGTCAGTTGGGCCGGCTCAGTGATTCACAGCTCATCATGCGGTATGTGCAGGGCATGGTCACATAAGTCTGCAAACAGCACAGAACAGTTGGAATGAAAATGCCACTCTTATATTGATATATGCCACTATTAGGAAAATACCCCCAAATCAAACTGATACACATACCAACCACCATTTTTCAAAGCATGTTTTTTTGTTTTACTCCTCACCCGAGGACATGCTTAGAGAGGAAGGAAGGAGGAAGGGAGAAGGGGGCTTGGGGTGGGGGGAGAGAGAGGGAGAGAGGGAGAGAGGGAGAGGGGGAGAGGGGGAGAGAGAGAGAGAGAGAGAGAGAGAGAGAGAGAGAGAGAGAGAGAGAGAGAGAAACATTGATCAGATGTGCCCCAATGGGGTTCGATTCGGAATTGAACCGGCAACCTGCGATGCTCAACCAACTGAGCAACTCTGGCAGGGCCAGAGCATATGCTTTTATTTTTTTTAAATATATTTTACTGATTTGTTTACAGAGAGGGAGAGGGATAGAGAGTTAGAAACATCAATCAGCTGCCTCCTGCACACCCCCTACTGGGGATGTGCCCGCAACCAAGGTACATGCCCTTGACTGGAATCGAACTTGGGACCCTTGAGTCCGCAGGCTGACGCTCTATCCACTGAGCCAAACCGGTTAGGGCAATATGCTTTTAAATGATAAAACATTCCCATTATCCTCTGACTTGTACCTCATGAGCGAGCCACAAATTCTGAAAGCTGACGGGAAGAGAACGAATAGGAACAGCCCAAGTCCCTAAGCCATGGGTCACGGAAGCCAACTCTTGAGCTACTGTCAGGGGTAGGGCGACTGCTAGGGCATGTGCCTGATGCCACAGAGCTGTGAGGACAAAAGGTAACCTGGGAGCAGCTTACCTGTTCGCTTGCTACAGAGTTTGTCTTTCACATTGTCAGCCTCTCGGGAGAAGAATTCAATGAGTTCATCCTCATATTCCTCCACAATGGTCTCACACTGCCAACCCAAGGAAGAACCGAGTGAGAGAAGGCAGCAAGAAGAGGCTCTTGCTTCTGACTCGAGAACAAGGATATTAATCCTGTTTTCCACTTGGGCTCTCCAATAACTCCCCTAATTTCTAGGAACCAGCTACCCACTCCCATAGCTCACCGCAAACTTGAGGGTGCCACGGATGTCTGAATCAATCCGGATGCCCTCTAGATTCAGGTCTTTGGGTTCTCCGTTCCGGTTCACTACACGTATGTAAATGTTGCGGTGGGTGGTAGGGTCCATCTGTTCCCCGTACTCCTTCATCCGGTCACATACTTCCTCTAGCAGCTCCGTGAGGTGGGCCTCTGAGCGAGCATAAGGCACCTAGAAATGTCCTCAGCCTTGGGTCACTGTACACTAGTAATTTACATCCTTACTTTTCCTTCCAAATCTAGCTCAACCAACCTATTGTAAAAAGCCTGCCTTATATTAAAAACAGTATGGGTTTATTTTTGTAATTCCAAAGTGTTTTCAAATACTGTACATAGTCTTATTTCACCCATATACAAGCCCAAGATATAAAGCAGGTGCCATCAGGCCCAAGTTAGAGAGAGACCTCTTCGATTAACCCTCGTCAACTATGTGTTCTTTTCCTTTGAATTCCTTTAATGCTCACGGATGTAAGATAACGACTTTGTATTACAATGAGACTAAAACCTGCCCTCAATAGGAGAACATTAGAAAGGTAGTATAGGTTTTGAGGAAACAACTATTAAATCATTTCACAAGCATTACATTTACATTTCTTTATTGTTCATTAGGGACAACTTTATTATATGTGTTATGTTTTCAACTAAAATAAGTTTCCTAAATATAAGAATGAGAACGTCTATTTCTTTTTTGTGAATGTGTGAGTACCATACTGCCACTGAAAACACGAGTCACGTGGATTAAGGATGTGGAGAGAGGGCTGATCAGGGTTCCCGGTCTGCTAACATCTTCTACAGCAGAAACCAAGTGTCAAGGCTTGGAACCAGGAAGCCAGTGCACAGGGTGTAAGTCTCCAGCCTCTCCCCAATGAGACAGCCTATCTTTCAGGTCCTTCTCTGGGTCAATGTTCTCTTCCTTTCTATTAAACCAAGCTCCTTAATTAGTCGAGTCCTCATTCAACCTGACAGTGAGCTACTGTATTTGGGGAAACAGTAACAGTTACCTCCACCACTGACTGGCTGCCATCCGGATTGATTCGGAAAGAGCCCATCTGAATGGTCTTCTTGGGATCCACCTGGGCAATTTCCCACTCTAGTTCATCCACCAGAGCCCTGCAAGCTGGAGCAGGGGGCGAGGAGGTGGGGAGGGGGAAAGGAATCAACCTGGGGATTTCCATTCATTCTCATCCAGGCTTCGGACCTCACGACCGCCCCAAGCTTTGCACCCGCGCCCCCACCCCCCCCTTCTCTCTGTGTCTTTACCTCCACAGTGTAGATCCTGGGCCGTCCGAGCCCAGGCGGCTCCCAGCAGGGCCCCCAGAAGCAGGGCCGGCCAACCCCAGCCTTTCATCTCTAACGTAACGGGGTCGCTCCACCTGGGTTTGGGTGGAATAAAGCGTTAGTATGAGGAGCCGCTCCGTTCCCCCACCCGCCTCTCATCCCAAGGCCTGCACAGGCCGCAGGGTGACTGGTTCTACTTTCCAGGAAACGGCGGGACACACAAGGGGCTCTGCGGCTTCGGCGCTGGAGGGCCCGGAGTCCCTCGGGCGGTGGTGTCGCGAGCTCGGATCTGGGGCTCAGCCCGACACTACGCCGCCGGGGAGGCCCTGGATGTTTGTGCTTCCGCGGCTCCTGCGCCGGGCTCACCGCGCCAGGTGGCAGCCACGGAGCGAAGGTGGAGGAGGAAGCGAGGACGAGAGGCAGAGGAGCTGCCGGCAAGGAGAGCTGCCGGCGGGAGCGGGAAGCGGCGCGTGGCCAGCCGCGTGGAGCACACCCGGGACCGGGCTGCGGGGACCAGACGGAGATCCCCGCATCCCGCCTCCAGCCTATAGACCGTCTCCTCTGCGGGCCGGCCCCTTTCTAAGGACCCCGCCGCGGCCTTCGCTCCAGCCCACCCCGACCCTCGGCGCCACGCGCACCCGTCCCACCTCTGCTCTCGGGGCCGCCGCCGTGGGCCGGGCGCTGCAGGCCGGTCGACCTCTCACGTTAGGTCTGGACTCGAGCGCCCGGCTGCGGGGAGCGGGGCCGTCCCGGCTCCTCCAGAGGCTCCGGCGCTTTCAGACACGGGGTGCCCCGGCGACCGCCTGAACAGCTCCCCGCTCCCTAAGGGGGCGCCTGCGCCGGGCTGCGATTCACTGCGGCGCCGGCCCACGCCAGGGTCGGACCCCAAACCCGCTCCTCCACTCTCGCGCGAACAGGCGGATCCGGAGCGACTCCTAGGCAGCGAGGACCCCGGCGGGTCGCGGGGCCGGCTTGCGTGGCGAGCAGCTCCACGTGACCGCCAGGGGTCAGCCGAGGAAAGGAGCGGCTGCACCCGGCCGGCCCTGGGGGGGTGCGGAGGCGGCGGGCGCTCGCGTGCACGTCTAGTGGGCTGGGACCTTCAAGAACGAAGGTGCGCTGATGGCCGATACGGAGCCCGATTTACATATGTTACTTTTGTAATACTTTCAACAATAAGAATAAAAAGCTCGTTTCAATTCCCTGGAAACTACATCTCCCAGGGAGCACCGCAGCACCACGCAGACCCCGTTAGTAGCCACAGGTTGTACGGTGTCCTGGGACCTGTAGTTTGTCAGCTTCTCCACTCCCCTTCCACCGTTAACTGGTAAGTCCGACTGTACGTCTGAAAAGAAACCGACCTGAGGCAGCCACAGCATTGACGTAACGCTGTCCAGGTCAGACATTAATTATACTCCTCCAATATCCTTAACTTTGGACTCCACAGAGCTTTACCTTTAATTCTAAGTGGGAATTTAAAAGCCTTAGATTCCCCATTTATAGACAACACAGAGAAAGGAGAGGAAGGCCAAAGAGAACCCCACACTTGCAGGTCTCCAATGAGATAGATGACAGTCAATAATATTTTTGTTTTTATTTTATAAAACATGCAGTTTAAAACAAAACTTTAAAAAATAACAAGAAAACGAAACTTGTAACAGGAAAGTGGAGTGGATGGAAGACAGATGCTTCTCAGCTGTCGGCAGGAAGGAAGCCAGCAGCCAAGCTTTGTCTTGGACTCAAAGGCCCTTTTGGCAATGATGGTGTTGGCAACACTGGTTTGCTAGGGCCACCAAGACTCTGTATGCTGGCTTCCTGGCATTCTTCAAGCAGTCACAGACTTGGGCTTGAGCTAAGTCTTGAACTACTGTTGTTGTATCCGGTTACTCTCCAGTACCTAGCCAACTAGGAACTGCAAGTTTTGGTTCCAGGATCTTCTTTGCCTGGATATTAATCACCCAGGATATTTATTAAGAATACCAATTACTTTTCATCTAGAGTAGACTCTGTTTTTTGCAAAGGATGTAAAAGGAATCTGGCTGCTAGACCCTTTGCAACAATTCTGTTGCATTCCAGTTCTATTAATAGCACCACCTGTAAACCCTGAGCAGGTTCAATTCTGGAAGTAGACAGGGTATAGCCAACTTAGGAAGCTATCTCCCAGTTCTGAGGCCACAGAACACTGAAGGGAGAGGCAGAAGCTGGTTGGGAGAGGATGAGGTCAGAGTGCCAGCACTGAAGAAAAAACAGCTGCATCTGTCAGAGATAAAACCAAGAACATTGACTCTTAAGGTGAGTGAAGAAAAAGTACCTTGGATTCTTCTTAGGAAGGAAAAATGCAAGAGGAAAGCGGGCCTGGACCTGCCCCAAACATTTCAGAACTGGCCAAGAGGAGAGTCTCAGCAACAAAAGCTATTTCACTGACAGTTGAATTAAATGCTTTGTACACTGTTAAGTGCTTTGCAAGTATATAAGGTAGGGATGGTACTGTTAACATCATCATCATTATGATTATGGTGGGTATAATTGTCACATATGCAGTCAAAACCCACCCAATTCAGTTTCCCTTGTCCCATCCCAGGCCTTACTCTTGGGACTTGTCTGGCCCTCGGGCTCAGGCACCTTCCAGTCCATCTTTCGGCCCTTCTCATACAGGCCCTTGAGCACTTTGTGGAAGGACTCGGGCTCAGTGCCATTCTTGCTTAGCTCCAGATACTTCTGGTAAAGCTGAAGGGCTGTGCGCGCATCTTCAATACTGTCATGGGTCTCCCCTTGAATCTTCAGGTCTGGGGAGGCAGAGGTGGAATAGTTTGAGACCTAGCAAAGGAAGATAAGAACATGTCCCCTACTCACATCCCCAACTCCCAATAAGCAATAAAAAACCTACTGCCTTTAAGAGAAGAGGCCAAACACCATTCCTGGTGCACAGAAGGGATACTGAAGCTAATTAAACCCTCTAATAACTTCACCACTAACTCGGGGTCCTTTTTCCTCCCTTTGGTCCCTCCAACACTTTTTCCTGCTCTTAATGAGCTCCACAAGGATCTTCAAGGCAGAGCAACTCACCCAGAAAGTACCAAGCAAGGAATCGCAGGGAAATCATTCGTTTTCGGGGCATGTGGAACAGATAGACAGTGTCAAGGACTTGGTCCTTGGGCACCTGGCAGGAATAAAAGAACGGACGGCTAAAGATAAGGGAGCCCATATCTTCCCATTCCCCAAAGGCACAATGTATACCCTGAGTGGCCCACATGCAAAGAAGACTTAAAATAGCCCTGCCCGAACCATGAGATTGATGACCCGGAAGTCCTTCTGCAGACCATGACCCACAAACTTGACTCCAATGTCTATGAGAAAACGAAGCTTTAAGTAGGTAGACTTGAGAGTTGTGAGGTGCTTAGAGGAAATCTTGGCATCGAGATCTCCTGGCTTTATTCCTGAGTATTGAGTCAAGTAATCCACGACCTAGGGATAGAAAAAGAGACAAGTCTCTCAGGAAGTGAGGTACAATCTCCCCCTGCCACTCTTCCCTGGGTTCCAGAGCCCTCTACAGAAGCACAGGGTCTGTGCCACTTGCACGTCCATATTCTAATACCTGCTCCTGGGTAGAGATGTAGTCATCAATGAAAGGGATACCCTCATTGGGCCCCTGGCCCCGAACACAGGTAATCCTAGCTACTGACATCTGACTTGGTTTGATGGTAGACTTGGTACCATCACTGCGCAACTCTGCTTCCTCCTGCAAAAGAAGAGTTAACAAGGAAATCAGACAAATACTTATGACTCTTAGTATCCCCAGATTTCTGTTCTAACATTCTACACTTTTCGGTCTTGGTTACCTCATTAAGGGTGACAAATTCAGCATCCAGGCCCACCAGGTCCCCAACCTGTGGCATCTCATTCAGCATCAGCGGAATAAAGGTAGTATGTGTTTTCCGCTGCTTCCGTGCTAGTGAGGCTTCAGCCATCAGGACACTTGCCTCAATAGGGTTCTTGACTGAAAGGGAGAATCCAGAAGACACATTGCTGGGGGCAGGGAAGTGACCAGGGAAGGGAAGCCCAAGGTAGCTGACCAGAGACCAGGTCTACACTGTGATCCCTCAATAATTAAAGCATATGAGTAAAAAGATCATGTCTGATGAACAGAGCAGGTAGATGGAACAGGTAAATAAGAAATGTGATAAGGCCCTGGCTGGTGTTTCTCAGTGGTTAGAGCATCAGCACATACCTGGGTTGCAGGTTCAATTCCCAGCCCTGGTTGGAGCGTGTGTGGGAGGCAATCGATGTGTCTCTCTCACATCAATGTTTCTCTTTCCCCATCCTTCCTTCCTTTCCACTCTCTCAAAAGTCATGAGAAAACATATCCTTGGGTGAGGATTAACAACAACAAAGAAATGTGATAATGGAAAAAAAAAGCCAACAGAAAGGAAAGAATAAGATTTTCATTTTGGACTTTAGCTTAGAAAATCTACAAAAATGAAGTTATAGTTTAAAGGCACCAAAAAAGGGACTTAATAAGGAGTTCATTTCCAAAAGAGATCTTCACTTGAGGATAAGAATGATTAGACTCAAAATCATAACCTTAGCTACTTGATCAGACTTTTCCCCAACACCTCCTTCCCACTATACTTTCAGGATCTTCAGCTTCTAAATTTAAGGCCTTATGAGTAGGACTCCCTGGAAATATTAACACTGGTTGCAGATCTTAAATTTTTTTTAAAGCATGCCTCTTTTTTATTGATAGATTTTTTTTTTTAGAGAAAGGGAGGGAGAGGAGAGGGAGAGAGAGAGAGAGAGAGACAGACAGACAGACAGACAGACATTAATTTGTTGTCCCACTTATTTATGCATTCATTGGTTGCTTCTTGACTAGGATAGAACCTGCAACCTTGGTGTATCAGGATGATGCTCTAATCAACTGAACTACCCAGTAAGGGCACAGATCCTCATCTTATAAAGCTACTTCCCAGGTCTCTTCCTGAAGACCAATCTAAACTACCCACACCGTGGGTCTACTCTTGTACCACTTACTGTTCAGGTTGTATTTAGAATTAAGATTTCTTTTGGTGTAATAAAGGATAGCAGGCACTTTCCAATTCATGTCAAACTGCACAGCTTCATGCTGTAAAAGAGAAAGCACTTAATGGCCCACATATATGCCCCTTTCCCCCAAATTAGACAGAAGATAGGACTCTGGTGCTACGTTTAGCTCTGCTAATGCTTATAATTCTTGAGAACCCATCCCTCCCTCCTAAGTTTGTCTGGCATTCTCTAGGGCACTGAGGATGAGGATGCTAGGAAAAGGGGGGATGCAAGGGGAAATGCAATGTGTTACAACTAACCTTATCAATGGGTTCAATAAGAAAGTCATTGAAGAGATACCACTGCTGGTGGGTAACACCCTATGGAGATACAGAGAAAGACTGATGCCGAAATGATGGCTGGACCACTCTGCCTCAGACTGAAGGTAGGACAGATCTTGGATTCCATTCTGGCCACCACCAGGAGTATCCCTGCACTGTATTATGTCACTCACCTCCTTGCGTTGGTGGTAGGTCTCTCCAACTTTGATGTGAGCCACCAGGCTGCCCCCTGTGCGTGAGTCCAGGATGTGTACCACAGTAGCCATCAGGTCATACACATAGACACCATGTTCCTCCTCTGCCCTGGCTGGGCCCCACTGTGAGGGGGGGTACCCAGGCTGCTAAGCTAAGTTTACGGATGGGGAAGGAAGGGGAGTGGGGATAGAGGACAAGGAGTTTGGGGTATGGAATGGGGCACCACAGTGGGTTATCTCCATCCTAGCCCATCTATGACTCCCAGCAACGAACTGAGTGACTGGAGAAGCCCAGAACTGCCAAACACTCAGCCTTACTCCCTTTCTTTTTCCTATACTAAGTTCCACCTTCCCCTGCCCTGCTTCTGCCCCATCCCTTTCTTCCTTATTCCCCCTCCTCTTCCCAATTTTCCAACAAC